ATCGTTTTAATCTATACTGGAATAATTCGACTTATTCCGTTTTTCCGAATATCGCATTCAGTTTTGCGTTAAAAAAATAGATTTACACTAAAATAATTATGTCAAAATATGTAGCTACAAGTACATATTTTATTAATGGAATAATATAAAAAACGAAATAATTCGAGTTATTCCGTTATTCGCCGCAGCTCCTCAAATGTTTATCGGTCGCAACCAAACATATATTTAATATATAAAATATATAAAATATATCGAGCCTTATTTACATTTCTCGACACTACACTTTTCACTTTGCCGTATCGCCGCGGGATCGATACTCGAAAAATTGTCTCTTCAATGAGAAACATATATGAGAGGAATTCCCCAGTCATATTAGTTTTCAAATTTTAATAACTGCGACAATTTGATGGAATCTTTTTTCTCATCATGCGTGTAGAAACTGAGAGAATTAAATTTGATCTTGCTTTTGTTGTATTTCTTTCTTCTTCGATATCGAATTTGGCAAGAATGTTAGATTAATGTTTTATAAATATCTATTTAATAAAATACAGAGATCTGTATGTACAATTTAATGAACTTCGACTTTTAACGAGACTCGAGTGTGTATATCTCTAAAATCAGAAATCGATTATAACAAAACCGACAAAGGCGTCTGACACAAAGGATGTTGGTTAAAGCCGGGAGATCTCCTTTGACGAGGAAGTTTCGAATTTAATCCGTATCTTTGTCAACGATCGAAGACTGGCTTTTCCCTGAGATGACATTTCGATTCCAATTACAAAATGGCTAAATGGTCTTTTGTATGGTAAAAAAACGAAAAAAAATTTACTTTGTTCCAATTATACCATTTAGTTTTTTTTATAGTTTTTGTCTTATTAATATATTTAATATTGTGTGTACAATTTTAATAATAATATAACTTTAATAATATCCAAAAATTGTACAAAACATATTAAAAAATTGAGAACATTTTATATACACGTATATGAAATTATACTTACAAAGATATCTATAGAATTATATTTATTGAGTAGAGCTTTCTTTATGCAAGACGAACATAAAACCAGAAAATGGAAAAGAGAGACAAATATCCAAGATTGATGAATGCGGGAGATTTTCTACCTTTTATTTTAACAAGCTTATATTTTATTCGTTTTATCATTCTGGGATTAAAGTGGACGCTTTAATCCTACGATGAAAACGAACGCTTTTCCCCGATGATTTATTAATCATTTTTCGCTCATTGTCAATGCGTATGACTATGTACGTTATACCGTCATAAACAGCGTTTATTAAATCGCATATTACACGTGGGAGCATACATTTGCGGGGAATGGGATAAGCCGGAACAGGCAGAGGAAATCTTACCGAGGAAATGTCAGGCTTCCGCGTTTCCGGGCGCATCGCGTATGTGCCTGCGCGTGCTTTTATCACTCGCGCTCGGATATTCCGGGGCAATTATCGTGCTATTTGACGGATTAAGCGTCCCTTTCTATTTATGACTGCACTAAATTTTACTCGATATAATTGCGCGCGTGAGTGCACAATGCTAGGCTGTTTAATCGTCACGAATAGTGCAAATTACGTTTCGGGAAATATCATTGGTGAACCGCTCGAGATGCTTATACTTACGCATTATTGTGCATAATTATAATGATTAATATCGCGAGCAATATGCATTTTTGCCTTGTTAAATTGATAGTTTAAATCTTGAATTTTTTATAATAAATTATTTAGAGTTTTAAAGATGCTTTAAAAATTCTTATATAAAAAATAACAGTAATATATTAAATTGCTTGTTAATACTATACGTATTCCAGTTTCAGTCTAAGACTGTGCTTCAAGAAATAATCGTATAGTTTGCTTGAACTGAAAATTGTAAAATTTGCACAAAAATATTATATAATACATCAAGATCCGCCTTGACTCAATTTGACTTTTTTTTTATTCATTTGTGGTTTACTTTGAAATTTGCTGGCAAATTCAAGGAGATACACATTTTTCGGGATATATTGATTGCCGCAATTCATCTTTGATTCCGACACTCACGTATATCCTCGCAAGAAAAATTGCGAGATCTCCCTATTTATATGTTTTTCTCTATAATAATAAACGTTCACACGTGGACTTAGAACCTTTTTAGTAAGTAGAACCTTTCAGGCTTGGAGGGTTCTCTTCGTTTCTCTCTTTCCAACATTCATGTACTGTAATTTCTGTCTTGCAGATAGCAAAATTGTTTTCTTACACATGGACCATGGGTTTATTTCTGTGCAAAGCGGTGCATTACATGCAGAGCGTGTCGGCAATCTGCTCGGTTGTCACCCTCACTGCGATGTCGATTGAGAGGTGAGATTATTCCTGTTGTACTATTCCTGCTAACGATTGATAGTGCGTCATGGTTATTATGATCGTATGTAAATCGCAGTCGAGTATTGATTGTATGAGAAAAGGATTTGCGTGAACATTCGAGAGTCAACAAGGATATAGTACGTGCTACGGTTTGTGTAAAGTATTATGCCATAATAGGGTCACGTAAATAGATCGGCTTTGAATTCAGGATATTGAGTAATCTAAAATTGTGCAGTGTGCCATTGAATATGGGCAAATATATGTGTTTGTAGCCAGAATTTAAAGATTTGACTACGGTTTACAGACAAATACTCATGTCGTGAATATTTTTTCATATGCTGGATATAAAATTTGGTATTTATTGCAGGACCTTCTGCTTGTCCTTTGAACATAACATACATCTAAAATCCCTTTGTAAGTACGATCTAATGAAAATATGTGATATAAATAATCCTTATATTTAAAATTCTTTATAATCTGTATTGCAAGAATACAAATTTGTTGATAAGTACAATTTTTTTGGAGATGATTAGTTTTTCTATAGTTTTTTTAATCGTTAGAATTTTATTTGTTTTATCCTGTAAAGAATTGTCTAAATATACAATCATTCCTTGTATTTCCTTACGAATATTATCAGGATAGTCATACATATATTGTTATATGTATCTTAAATGATAATTAATCAAATTTGATATTTTAAATAAATAAATAAAAAGGGCAAATAGCCGATAATATAACAAAACCAAAAACTCTAAAATTTGTTATACAAAATTCATTATCCTACAAAAATTACTCAGTTCGTGTTCTTCATGCTTTGAGTCAAGATGAAAATTCAAAAGTCAGATTGTATAAAATTTGGTATTCTAAAAGAATCGTGAATAAATTCAAAAGTCAAATTGCATAAAACTTAATATTTTTTAAAAAATAATCGTGAGAGAAAAGAAATAAATAAAAATTAACATTATATATAATAGTACATATATATATATATAGTATACCTTGTCATTTATACCTGTAGATAATCCGGAGATAAAAATACACTATAAAACTAGTAACCAGCAAAAATTAAATGCACAATTTCCATTATTACATTACTGGCTTTTACTATTCCGAACACACTAAAAAATTTCGGAACCTTCCCGATCATTTCATCTTTGTTTAACGTTGGCGAACAACAAGGATGTAATGATTCGCTGTGTCACACTGTGTCGCTTGTGTCCTTTGCTGAAAAACTCCTAGTACAAACTTTCCGTAAAACTTCTTCACTAGTATAAAAAAGAACATTAAAAAAGACTGATTCTACAGCCCCTCTCGAAACATTTTTTTCACTACGCAACTACGACTACAAGCGAAGTCAAATACAAGGAATATGTTCACGGAATATTCCTAATCGATCGTATTTTCCTTCCTTGATCGCTCATGTAGTTATTTCAATGAACAAGCAAATTTTTTATCGTGTATAAATATTATTTTGCTACGACATATAAATTCCATTTACGTGTTCAACAATGTATTATAGTATAATAAACATGTTCATGATTTCTTTCCGAGACCATAATATTATACGAGAAATATTTTAAATAAAGGACCCCACACTAATTATGTATACGAAAAATTAAGTTCTGATAAAGTGCGATAAAATTTAGTTTTTAAATATAATGTAACTTGCAATGTGATGAAACAGAAAATGTCAAAGACATTTTGGATTTCATTTTGAACGCATAATAATTATTGAAGAGACTCATTTTGAGAAGAATATTACATTAACGTAGCCTACGAATGAAATGCTGTGGATTCACTCAATTTTTCATGCTATTATGTGATTTTTGAGTCGCGGATTATTATATTTTTGTGCTACAAACAGAATATTTGTAAAGTAAATTCAAATTAATATCCACGTCAAATGTCATTTTGCGAGAAATGTTACCTCGTAAGTCAAGACAAAGCGCTTTGATCCTATGTTTAGAAATGGCATCGTGAAGACCGCGACTGTATGAAGCTCCCTTGGGGATACCTCATAGTCGCGCTCTTTCTTTGACAATTTTCTATATATCATTATTATGTATTGGTGTACAAATAAGTTTTAAAATGTTTTTTGTGTAACGTATAATTTAAACTTAGAATTCAAATATTTTCGCTTCATGACAACGCTAGGCCTCATATTGGTAAAGGAAACGATGCTAGCGATTGGTTGGAAAATTCTACCGTATCCGGCGTATAGCCCAGACATAGCCCCTTCAGACTATTATTTATTTCGGTCAATGCAAAACGTCTTGTCTGGTGTACACTTTCGAGCATTTGAAGAAGTGCGAAAATGAGTCGATAATTTTGTCGCATCGAAACCTTCGCTTTTGAAATTCGCAAGCTGAAAGATGGCTAAAGGTCATAGATAATGACGGGGATTATTTTGATAATTAAGTGTGTTTTTTAATAAATAAGTATTAAATTTCATTAAAAACACTTTAAAACTTATTTGTACACCTATAATATATATTTATATATTACCTAATATGATATCACCTAATATGATATTTATAGAAATATACTCCGTTTTATTACTGTACTTGTTTTGCATGCAGTAGATTTTATGTAGATGTTTTAATAAATTTTATTTGAAACTAATTATGTTATAGACATATTAAAAAAATCCATAAATAAAGTTCTTTTTTTAGATCTAAATTATATTTCAAAATAATTTCGTTTACTGTTTCAGGTATTACGCCATAGCGCATCCAATGAGATCGCAGTATGTATGTACCATAAAACAAGCTCGTAAGGTCGTAATCACGACTTGGATCGCAGCATTTCTGTTAGGAATACCTATGGCATTTACACAGGTATGTGTGTTTTCAACTTGTACTCAACATTTCATTAACAGAAATTTCGTTTTTCTTAATTTTATCCATTTTCATTTCAAATGTTTTGATAAGTCCGAAATTATAATTACGTTTTTCGCAAAAATCCATTTCAAAATTAACTCGAAACAACGAAATTAACATAACATTAATTATGAGACAATATTCTACTATTTATTTCTATTCGTGATATCTAATGTGTAAAAAAAGCATTTAATTTTCTGTTATTTGTACTTCATCGCTAAAGTATTATTTTCCATCATTTATTTCAAATAAGCTTGTATTCAAGAATGATTTGTAATCACATAAATAAGGTATCAAGTTGTGCATTCCGTGTCTGAAATATTCTTCATTAAAAAAAATAAAAAATATATGTGCAAAAATAATTATCTCAAATATACATCGATGGGGACGGCCTGCTTCTAAACGATTTTTTAATAGAACGTGATTATAATCTCGAACGATGTATGTCTCTAATTTTGTACCGGCACTTGCCATTTATTACAGCGTATTACTTCTATATTATCGTTTAGCCACATGGCACTTCGCAATATTTCGCTCTCACACATGCGTGCAATGTGTGTCGCCAACATTCGAGAATGATACGCCCCGCAGTAGCACGTCCGATAAAGCTGATACACCCCGCTTCGTTCATTTACTTTAATGAACGATGACTTATCTGAGCGTTGAAAAGATACGCCATTAAATCAAAATAATCTGCTAACGCGGAGAATATCGAGAGAAGACTGACATGATTGGATTTTCACCCGTCGAAAATTTCTCTTGTAATTTGCAGCATTTTCTTAGATAAATGTTTGATACGTTGTTCTTTGCTACTTGAATGTTTTCAGAATCATCGCTAGTAGCTGAAGATACTGTAGTTGGTATTCTACATTACATTTAACGTATAGTTATATAGTGTAGATTTTAGATAGTACACTACATTTAATTTGATTTCTAATTTTGTCTGAAATGAAGATTCGTGCAACGTTTATCTCGAGTTGATGCTCTCGCGAGTTAAATATGCGGAATATTATTATTTAAGCTTTTAAATTTTTAATATTTATATATTTTTAATTTAAACATTTGAATATTTTAAATTTCTTAGAAAAATTTTTCATTAATTAAGTATTTAGTTTACACATTTATATGATCGATGACATGTTTTAAAAAATTGGAATTTATTTTACACGATACAAAGATCATTTTGCTTGATATTTAATTCGTCGTTCAGAAGATTATCTTTTCCGATGAGAAAAATGTCGTTTTGTGTTGAATAAAGCTGATTTCATCTTTACTTCCTTATAAGATGAAAAATATCGGTTATTATATATTATAATATACGGAAAATTGTACACGATTTATTTGTGGCAACTTTCTCTATTTCGATATTATCCTAATCATTTTTAAATACCTTTACACACACCCATCCACCCCACAGGCTGGACGTGACAGCAAGAAATTTTACTTAAGTTTGCATTTTATGTAAAATGCCCATGTTATTACAACCTTGATATCGATGTAATTTTGAATTTATTTTCTTGCGAGAGTAGAAGAGAATTTTCACTGAATACCAGAATATACGTCAAGCTTATATTTAATGAAGGTTTCGTCTATTTTTATATAAAAAGATGATAAATTCAAAATTACATCGATGTCGTGCATGTATTGACGTGAGCGGACAATATTTTAAAATGTTAATCATAATCATATCTTAAAATTGGCGTGTCACGCTTTTTTGAAGCCTCTATTCGTTGAGGCAGTTAAAGTAATCCGAAAATGGTGAATTTTGGTAACAAGGAATTTTCGGGGACGCTCTTTTAAAAACATGGTAAAAATTATGATAATTAAAAAAGATTTATCCAATATGGCGGACGGAAAAGATGCGAAAATCTTAAAGGTTTTCCGATTTCGGCGAAATTTGGATTAAGGGGGCTTACGCGGACGCTGATTTCGAATCTGTGATCAAAATTAGGAAATTCCAAATGGTTAATCCAAAATGGCGGACGAAAGTGTTTCGAAATACATAAAAATTTAAAAATTTCAGCGAAATTAGGTAAATGGGGGTTACCGCGAACGCTGATTTTGATTCCGTGTTCCAAATTTTTAAATTCAATATGGCAGACGGAAATGTTGTGGAAATCAATAAGATTTTCCGAATATGACGAATTTAATAAGACGCAAAGAAATGTAATTATAATTTAAAGCTTAATCGACTATGCTTTGGTGTAAATTTTGTAAGAGAAAATTATATGGTCGTTCAAAAAAAAAAGAATCCCGCGCGTAGCGCTCTGTGAAGTTGGTACCCCTAAATGTGAATATTGGTAATATCATTATTGCATTCTTTTGTCCACTGTTTGTCCACGTTTGTCCACCCGTTATTTTCATTTGTCCACCCACCAAAAAAAAGTTATGCATAAAAAAAAATTGTAACACCCCCAAGTGATTATTTTACATTATTACGAAAAATATAATAAACATAGGGTGGACAAACGAAAATAATGGGTGGACAAACGTGGACAAACAGTGGACAAACGAATGCAATAATTATTTTACCAATATTCGCATTTAGAGGTTCCAACTTCACAAAACAGCTCTGTGAAGTTGGCACCCCTAAATGCGAATATTGGTAATATCATTATTACATTTGTTTGTCCACTGTTTGTCCATGTTTATCCGCCCGTTATTTTCATTTGTCCACCCTCCAAAAAAAAGTTATACACAAAAAAAATTGTAACACCCCCAAGTAGTTATTTTACACTATTACGAAAAATATAATAAACATAGGGTGGACGAACGAAAATAATGGTTGGACAAACGTGGACAAACAGTGGACAAACAAATGTAATAATGATATTACCAGTATTCGCATTTACAGATTCCAACTTTACAGAGCTGCTTTATGAAGTTGACACCCCTAAATGCGAATATTGGTAAAATCATTATTGCATTCGTTTGTCCACTGTTTGTCCACGTTTGTCCACCCATTATTTTCGTTTGTCCACCCTATGTTTATTATATTTTTCGTAATAGTGTAAAATAATCACTTGGGGGCCTTACAATTTTTTTTGTGCATAACTTTTTTTTGGAGGGTGGACAAACGAAAATAACGGGTGGACAAACATGGACAAACAGTGGACAAACGAATGCAATAATGATTTTACCAATATTTGCATTTAGAGGTTCCAACTTAATAAACGCGATGGAAAAACAAGTAGCACGTCGCATATCTTTGCATGCCTCGTTACATCTCGGAGCACATCGAGGAAAGCACGTGCCCTTCAGGATCTCTTACGTCTGTTCTTCTTTTCAGACACACAAGAAAGTCGGGGTGAGGAGGATCGCCTATTGGTGCGTTCGCGATCCCGAAGTTGCACTTCTATGGAAATCACACGAAGTTTACATGCTCATTGTGGTCTTAGTGATACCGCTGAACATCATGGGTTTCTGTTACATGAAGATTTGCCGGGAGATTTCGCGCGGTACGAAACGTCGGTATGAAATGACATCGCGACATGTGTAAGTTCGAGATTCTGTTTTAGATCCGTGAATTTCTGAATTGAACTGTAAAAACATTCTTTTTTTTCTGATCTAAAAGTTAGCAAGTTGTCATCATCAAGATAAATTTTTCAAGTCCAAAATCGCAAAATTCGTCTAAATTAAAACTCTCGAGAATGTTAGATAAATAAAAATAAATAACGGGCTAGTGAGAGTTAAAATTGCAGTAAGTGGTGCAAATTAAATGTTTTATTATAATATGAGTACTTATAACTTTATTTAGACGTTTCGGCTACATTTCGAGCCATCTTCAGTGGTCCAAATTTTCAATAATATTCATCGATGGCTGAGCAGGAAGTGGCAGATTCATTCTCTCATTTGATTATTTTGTCCCAAAATTGATTGATCCGCACAGCCATGGAGAAATAATGATAAGAATAACAAGTTAGAATATATATTAATTTTTTAAAATAATTAGTAAAATAGTCGCAAATAACATATTGTAACTGTGAGCATGTCTACGGACAGCAGTCGAATCATTCAAAATAAATTTTTATTTAAATTTAAGATATTTTTTGTTATTGTAATAAAATAAAAATAGCGAGATAAAAAATATATAGCGGGTACAGATAGTTTTGAAAGAATTTTTCGATCAATAATAGCAAATCGTACGTTGAAACAGTGAAAACATTTGAATTCCTTTTTTTAAATTAGATATTTCGCAGAAAAACTTTATTCGAATTCTTATTGTTTGTTATCATTAATTACATACGTATATACTCGGCTTGTGATATTTGACTCTAGCGGGAAGCGAACTTCTGGTAATGAACGCGGTCATGTCGTTCACAGTGTTTCTTTGGGGAATGTGTGGACTTGCAGGCGCGGTTTGCTTGAAATAGATCGAGGATGATGAGGGGCAAACGTAATGGCGAATGCATTTACACTTTATGACTCTACTTAATTCGATTCCCCGTCCCCTGTGTATGTCGTGAACCATCATCGTGAATGCTCATCTTCAGGCAGTCGCTCGGTGCATTTTAAGAAAATTTAAGAAAATTTCGAGAAATCTTTGAGATTTTTCTATCGATGAGCGTGGAGAACTTATTTCAAGAAGGATTGCAGTTACGTTTACGGTTTTAAATCTTTTATCTATAAAGATAAAGCTTCTCTACGTTTTTGACTGTAATATAAAATGTTTCGACATACTCTTTTGCTTAAATAAAAAGAGATTTTTTTAAAATCCTTCGAAGTTCGAAAGAATTCGAACTGGTAAAAATTAGACGAATATGATGAACCCGTTTATTCGAAGAAAAGAAGGAAACTATCTGCTTCTATATATTTATAAAAAATAAAATTGATTTCAATTACTCTGATCTTATTTTGTATCGGTTAATGCGATGCAATGATTTTTTTGAAGAATCGATTGCATGGGAGAATACATTTTTGTATTACCGATTGCCATCACTCTTGGAACATTATGCAATGCAAGTACCGTTATTAAAGTATCGATCGCGTGGAAAGATTACTACTTTAAAATGTTCTCTAGCGTATGGCTTTAGAACATCGGTCAACTCGAAGAAATTCTCCGAAATAAAATTACTGTCGTGCAAGATCAAAGGAAATTCCATGAAGTAGAGTCATAACGTAGTTAACGCACGTAATGTCTTGCTAAGATGAAAATGGGTCCGCACATGCACATGAAGCACTTGATAAAAATTCAGTCATTCTTCTTATAATGTTGTCTCTGGATATGAAAATAAAAGTGCTGCTTAACATGAATGGTAAAAGAAAAAGCTAGGACAGATTGTAATTTTTTGTTAAAACATCATTTATCAAAAAAATTAGTTGTAAGGAAATTAATGTAGGTTTTTAATATTGAAAAAGCTAAATTAAAATTATTGAAGGATTAAAATTAATTTTTCAAACTATAATAATATTGTACGAAATTTTTCTATTTGTTTGCATTTTAAAAATTTGGTTTTGAATAGTTTATTTATTCATCCATCTTTTACAATCGACGCAAATAGAATTGACATGCAATGGAGTACGAGATCTTCGTGCGAATAATCAAAGCGCAATTTTTAATCTGTTTCAGATTAAATTCAAACACTGCAGAACCTGAATGTATTCCCATGACCCAATATGGCAAAACCGAACGCAAATCACGGCGGGACGAGAAATATGAAGAATCACAGATTGTGAAGCAGGTTTGATTTGATTGATCTTTTCTTGGGAATAATCAAATTTGAGAAGGAAATGGCTATAAAACAAAAATCATTTTGGAATTTTTAGTAATTAACTCTCCTAAATCATTGCTTAGCTCACTTGTAAAAAAACTTTTTATTACTTTTTTTTAATAATTATGAAGTTTATGTGTGAATCGTCATAACAATGTATTATATAAATTTTAAAATTATTTGAAAAAAAATGGTTTTAATCTTGAAATGGGCTTGTTTAATAAAGCTGTGAATGCTTTTAGAAATCACAAATTGCAGTCTATATGAAATAGTAGAGTTGAAATATATCCTGAGGTTTACACGGGATAAGATCGCTCACATTATTCAGTAAATTCAGACTATATCCAGTATATTGTTTAAATACATATAGTAGAATACGATGTTCCCTGTATTGTGGTCTCCGTGTTAGAAAACAGTTCTAACCGCTGCGAATGGTTACCAACAGGTGGTGAAGATGTTGGTGACAGTCGTGATGCTGTTCACCATTTGTTGGGCACCGATGCTGATTGACAATGTATTGACTTCTTATGGCTACCTGCCGCGCGTCAAGAGTGGAGTGTACAAGCATCTCAATACCATGTTTCACCTGATGGCTTATATGAACAGGTATGTCTCGGGTTCAACTCAGAGATTAAGCGCCGGGGAGCCGTTAATTTAAAAGAGACTCATATCTACGATGATCTCGTCTTTTACGTGATCAACGTTGCGAAGGTTATTGCCTCCGGGGAATCATTCGCGGGATCGTGTTACAAATAGAAAAATCAGTTTGCTGGGCCAGCCGCAAGTTTTGTTCCGCCAGACAGATCGCATGGAATCCGTAGACGATTGCATCATAAACTAAAGAGGAACTTCAAATATTGGTTTATTTCTTGATTAAAGATTCACATTCAGACGAGCGAAATGTGAAATATTATAATATATAATTTGTAACCACACATTAATTTTTATTTATCGACAAATATTTTTTACATATATTTTTATCATTCTTTTTTGCCTTTTGGTATTTCAAATAAAAATGTGCGATACTGTTCAGAAATTAAAAATTTATAAGAATCACAAATTTAACGTAGTTTTACCTATATTTAAATTTGATTAACATTTTTAAAGAATCTGTTATTATGTACGCTTTCCCAGTTTTGATTTGAAATATAACTAAATGAGAATTACTAAATAATGTATTAGTAATCATTTTATGATTGCTAAAAACAATCAAACGTATGCAGAACATAGGAAACTGTTTCACAGTTAAAATTAATTAAAAACAATGCGTGTATCACAATTCGTAAAGTCGTTGAATCAACAAACCTCGGTATGTTCTGGATACGTACCGCTATTTTATATTTATGCATTCTCTCTCCTACTATTGAATTTGTTGTGTATAAAATAGCATTCCTCGAGGCAAATTTAAATGTTGCGTTCTATTTCGTAAAATGAACGAATATGCATATAGTTTACAGGAAATGCAAATATTTTTGCGATATTGAAGATGTTACATCGCGTGAAGAAAGTCTAATTATGTACTTCAATTGGCATTTGATTTTTTTCTATAAATAAATATAATTTGTAAGGGTTGTGCAATTTGTTCGTGTTTGCATGCACAATAAAACTGGTACATGTATTACATATACAACGTACAGTGTGTTAAAACACGGTCGTTAAACGAATTATATTAATTTATTGAAAATATTAAATTTCAAATTTTTTTTTATAATTAATGTATTTGTATATATTTCATTAAATTTCGAAAATGCTACGTGAGTGTGTTTGCGCGATTGATATGCGGATTTTGAAATCATTTTTGTATTGAATTATGATAACGGCGAGACACGTGCATCATTGATTTTCGCCGAATGAGCGTCTCTTTTTCCCCCTCGTGTCGCTTGTTTTTTACATCTTGCGATGTAGAATAATAACTTTAATAGCTACCTCTGCAAATACTTCGTGTATCATTTTGATAACGATCACTGATTAGCTTAACAAGTTGTGATGCTGTCAGGCAACAGCGTCAGATGCAATAGATAAATTGCATGCTATTGAAGTGATTTGGGTCGTTATACGAAAAAGCATAGTATTCTCCACTTCGTGTATAGTTCCTCCTATCGCTTTAACAAAACAAATTTATATTACTTTTGCCCTTCTCGCGCGAAAGTTAATATTCTTTATCCGAGAGAGAGGCTTACTCTTTTCAGTAATAAAAGAGTAATTTTGTATCTTATGCTTTTAATTTAATTTAATCTTTAGTTTTATACAAACGTAAAATTCTTTCTGCTACCTTTCCGGTGAAAATGGAAGATACTTTCTTTGAAAAGATCTATTTCTTTAATAAATTTAGTATGAAATTCTTAGCAACTGAAATTCTCTAGAATATATTACTCTTTTAAAAGAAATATATTATATATGATATTGAAGAATGATAGATCGAAGTGTAAATAAATTTACAGAGCTTCATTATCTTTTTAATTAATATATATTTAAAATAAAGTTAACTTTCTATTAGATATATATTAATTTGGAATTTAATTACTGAAAAATTGCAGTTTGCTATATGGAAATAAAATAGCTGATAGCTTTTAATTAAATCGTCACTAAAGAAGAAATGTGCAATTTGAAAGAAATGCGATAGATTATAATTAAAGTGTCTAAATATTCAATAATTTAAACAAATATGAATTGGAATGTTTTCTTTCGTTAATTATACAAGATTTTTTATTGGAAAGTAATTTTTTTTAATTATTTGTAACAAGTTTCTTGTACATTAAGTATTTTATTTTATTCTACGAATAACATTTTATAATTAAATTCTATATCTTTTATATCGAAACATTTTTTCTTTCTAATAATTCTTTCAACACTATAAATTAGAAACTGCTGGAAATAGGATAATGATACGAGATTAATTATGTAAAAGCTTTTAACAGTTAAAAAATTAAATAGTTAATTGATGCGTAAATGAAATATAAAGTTGAAATAGAATTAAATTATATTTAGAGGAATGACACGAGATTAATTTTTTTAATTTTTATACAAAATATATAAATTAAAAACAACGATTTTTTTTTACTATTTATTGATCTTGTATTTTCACATACATTGTTCTACCAAAAATTTTCTTTAAAAAATATCGGCTTTAAGTACATTCAATTATGTTTACATTGAAGGTTGGGTCATCCCCCACTTTTCTATAAACATGTAATAACAACGAAGATAAGACAGAAATAGTACTAATAGCGTCTCTCTGAACGCACCATTGATCTGAAGTCCCCTTTCCTCTTTTACTCTTTTGTTTATCTATTAGATAAATCACGTAGTTTATTTGAGGATGGAACAATCGGCTTTAAGACATTTAAAACAAAACTTATTCAATAGAGAAACGTGCCAATAATTTTTAGTTTATGAAAAGTTTGTTTAAAAATCCTATTTTTAGAAGTGCCGTATTATTTTCTATTTGGTTATAACTGTTATAAATTTATTTTCTTTTCGAGCATAATGCTCGAACGATATTTGGACTGCGCGTGGTGAGGTGGACAACGAAAGGCGGAGGCGATTCGAAAATCGGCCGAAAGTTGCATACACTTTATGTATGTTCACTTTGTACTGGCACATTTAATTAATAATATATCAGTTACTTTTCATGGTAACATATTATTATTAGATAAAAAGGTTTAAATTTTTGAGTATCCTTTTTTGAACATGACTTGAACTTTTTAATGCTTTTCGCGATCGAAAATGTCCTCTCTCGTGTGCCTGTCGAATAACTTGAGACCTAAATGAGGCGAGTACAATGATTCGCAAAACATCATCTACTTCCTTAAAAAGTACGCTACCTTTTATAACATATCCGTCGATTTTTCGTGTTTCTTCACGCATTAACACATGCCTGTAGATTACTATTTCTTAAATACAGATTGCGCAGCTTTTGTATGAAACAAATGTTGTTACGACATATAATGACGTGACAGCTCTGGAGCGCCATATTAAAAAATACTAAAGAAACTCAATTTTGAAATTTTTTTATCGTTTTCAGCATAGATTCTACCTCACTGCAGGCATGTATTAATGCATATACTTCAATCTTGTAAAAGGATTTTCGAGTCTGTGAATATGATAAAAAAAGTATACGATACAAAAATTATATGGTTTAGTTGGTAATGCAGACGGAATTAGGATCCCTTTAAGATCAAGCCTTCAGGGGCTCATATTCGTGAGTACGGAATTGGTAACCCCGAAGCATTTTAGTTACTTAATGTCTGGGGTATATCCAGGCCACCTTAATCTCTTGGGAAGTAATTAAAGAGACATGCGATCGCGTGATGTGTTAAATATATATATATATATATGTGTGTGTATATTATGTAATATTAACATAATAAAAGAAAGAGCACCTCTCTGAATGCTCTTTTCTCGCAGAACATCCGCCGTGATCTTTTTTCTTGTTTTTACGTCGAAAAATTTGGTAAGCCGAAACTATTCGGATGGAATGGTCGATATGGGATTTACATCTAAAAATTCGATTACAGGAAAATGCGAAATTGGATTGTGTTTACGCATTCCAGATGTTGAACCACAGATTTCATTTCGCGTTTCGATGCAACCGCGTACATCCGCAGCTACGGATTTATGGGCATAAACGCGATGCAGTTTCCGCATTTTATCTGTTCGACGATTAACGCGCGATATTCGATCCGATTGTACCTCCCGGCTGTCTTTAATTTAATATCGGTATTGCAGTTGCATAAATCCAATTATATATGGGTTTATGTCGAGGACATTCAGGGCGAACCTGTTGGCTGCTTGCAGCAGATGCTGGAAACCTAAGGCCAGCCAGAACCTGGGAATCAGCGCAACCAGGACCACCAGCGCTAGGTACGTCGTAGTTCGTTATCATATATATATACGTAGTATGAAGCGCCCTAATATATCAGGGCTGATATATCGTTAAGGAGAACGAAAAGAAACTGGAAGGAGTTTCGAAATGCGCCTCTATCAATGCTTTGATGCATATTCCGCTGGTATCCCATTACCCATTTTCTCGACAGCGAACACCTAGATACCCATTTTGTCGACGGTGAACACCTAGACACCCATTTCCTCGACGGCGAATACTTTAGACACCCATTTTCTTCGACGGTGAACATCTAGACACCCATTTCCTCAACGGCGAACACCTAGACACCCATTCCTCCTTTATTTTTCCGTTTGCTTCTAAGTGGACCTGATTCTTTCTTCGTCCCCGGACCAGAGCTATGAGGGAGGTTTCCGCCTAGATATTTATTATCGGTATTGCATCTGTATAAACCCGATAATTTACGGGTTTATGTCAAGCCATTTCCGAGAGAGCCTGTCGGCTGTCTGCAGCGGCTGGTGGAAGAAGAGGCTACGGGGCTCCTAGCCAGATCAGAAGCCAAATCCACCAGTGTTAGGTACGTAGTGGTTCGTTATCATATATATGTGAAGGACCCTAATACATCAAGGCTGATATATCGTTGAGGAGAACGAAAAGAAACTGGAAGGAGTTTCGAAATGCGCCTCTGTCGATTCTTTGATCCACATCCCGCTGGTATCCCATTTCTCATTTCCTCGACGGTGAACACCTAGACACCCACTTCATCGACGACGAACACCTAAGACACTCATTTCCTCGACGGCGAATACCTGGACAAATAAAAATCAGAGATTCAGAGTTTGCATCATAATATCTCCGTTTGTAGGGCACGTAGAAAAAAAATAAAAGCACTTTTATTATACAATTTAAGTGGTTTCTATCGATTGAGCGTATATAGAACTTAATCAGTTCAGCCGTTATTGAGATCTGATAATCTGCTACAACTCGCCGATTCGCGTAAAGTAATCACGACAGTGTTACTGCGCTTGGCTTAGCGCCGAGGATTTATTAATCAAAAATGTTTTTGATTAATAAAATCTATTGAATTTTATACGTGTCCGTAATTTATTTTTGCATGTTCAAAAGTATACAATTTGTATAAACGTATTGAGAAAAAAATAATTGATTTTAAATCTAAATAAATTAAATCTCGATTTTTTTTTACACTCAGAAAATAACTTTACGATAGAATAATAAATATCGAGAGATATAACAATTCAAGAACATTGTATACAAGACGTTTTTTCGAAAATAACAAGATAAAGTAAAATTCGCAGCTTCTTTAACTTCATATATTTATAATTTATAAGGAATATTTAATAGATCTGGCAAGTTAAATTTTGGTAACAAAACCTTGTTTTTATTCTTAATTACAAGTGCATATAATAAAATTTTAAAAAATTTGATTATTAAAATATGTAATGTTGAAAGTCAGATAGTAATAAGATTTGCAGTCTAAAAAGAGAAAAGTTCGAGTTTTTATTTTTTTTCGTTACGCTATTATTAAATGTGAAATTGTGAAAATAATAAGTTTCTGTCGTTTTATAATTCAATATTAGATTTATTTGAGAATTAAAAAGATATACACATAATATTAAATGCTACTAATTGAATTAACATCGTTTCTCTAATTAACAAAATATGCAATTTTTCGCTTCTACTGCGCGACTTTAATTATTATACTTCAAAATCCTTTTTTATCGCAAGGGTTGAGAAAGGAAATTGCTTCGAAATAGGAATTAATTAATCTGCGAGTCATTTGCTTTTCGAGTTTTGTGTAGGGATGACTGCATCTCGCTCTCAGTTAGCCAGGTATACTCGTTTAAATGTAATTTTTTGCAGGACGTTTTCATGCGCGATTTACTTCAAACTCCATCAGATAATGAAATTCCAATGTCATGTGTCTCATCCCTTCTCTCTTTCTCTTTCGCTTTCTCTTTATCTTTCCGTTTGCTTCTAGGTGGACCTAATTATTTGTTCGTCCCTGGACCAGGCTTAGGAGGGAGGTTTCCGTGTAGAAGGAAGGAGACTTCCGAGTATGCCTTGAATCGGGCGAAAAAAGAATGAAAATCGAAAGTGCGATTATGAAAATAATAGGACACACATAGGACCATTTAGTACTGCTGGACGCTCTCTGTCCAATCTTGAGAGTTTCTTCTTTTCCCCATATAATGTCCACTACTTCAGCAAAACTAATCTTAATTATAATTAATGTATTGAAAAACTTTTTAATGTACAATTTTTAACGGGACTTATTTCTCGGTAAACGGGCTTTCGATAAGTATAAATTACTTTATTTTAAAAAACTGGAGAAATCAAATCGCTAATCAATGTATAGAAAATAAGTAAATATATACTATTTAGATACTTTAGATTTGACGAACGTGAATATTAGCAATTAACGCGATTTTAACAATTCTAGCTTGTCGATGAGGAAAATGTTAAGTGCCATAAGAAAGTGCAAAAGTCTTGGACCGATATGAAAAAAAGAATGAAGATATATATTATGTATCAAACGCTCGACTAGTCTCTGACATTTATAGCGTATATTATTGAATGTATAATCAATTATAGTTAGTATATATACTAACTGTATTGATATATCATATTATTATAATCAATATATACATATTAGTATAATCAATATTATATATCTATATATTAGTATAATCAATATTATATATATCTATATATTAGTATAATCAATATAGAGTAGAGATAATTTAATTGTTGGAATCATACTTATTTTCTGTACATTGGTTAGCGAATTGATTTCCCTAGTTTTTTAAAATAAAGTAATTTATATTTATTGAAAGCCCGCGTCTATGTTTAATTGTTGGAATTACACTGCACAAATAATTCTAATTTTATATTGATTATACGTCGTACAATAATATACGGCATACGCCATAAATGTCAGAGACTAGTCGAGCGTGTGATATCTTCTCATTTTTTTTTTTTCATATCGATCCAAGACTTTTGTACTTTCTTATGGCACTTAACATTATCCTCATCGAAAAGCACAGAATTGTTAAAATCGCTTGAACTGCTAATATTCACGTTCGTCAAATCTAAAGTGTAGAAATAATTTAATTGTTGGAATCATCGAAAAATGATGGTATTACATGTCAAATTCACATTTTAGATGTATTAAGACATTTGCTGTATTTGTGTCGATATAATATAATGATGTAATATGACTTGTCTATCGATGAACCGTAATGAGATATATGTATATATTAAACCATCCTAATATCAATTTTTATTATTAATACTTATGAAGAATTAATAAAACAGAATTATATTGCAGTAAATTCGTTTTTTGCAATAAACTTTTTTTTTTTTCAAGGTTTTTGAATTGGACTTTTCAACAAATACAATTATAAGTAATTGAATAGAAGATATATATTAATTTTATAATTAATATTTTCAAACATTAAAAAAAAACAAGTTTATTGCACAAAACGAATTTATTGCAACATAATTCTGTTTTATTAATTTTACAGTGTATTGCCAAATTTATAATTTTAGCATATACAGGGTGTTCCAGAGTAAGCACAGGAGCACGTACATATTTCTCATGAAAAAGTGAATCGAAAATGTTAATAGCAAAATCTTGAGGCATCAATAGTTTTCAAACGGTGAGCATTTGAAAATAATCAACCACAGGGCATGAAATTCGCGTCATCAGAAGCCGATCATAAGCGATCGGTCGCGCGACGAACGCTTAAATTGAGTTTTTAAATTCAGTTCAAATTAATTGATGAGAAGTAATATTGCAAATTTAACACAACGATATTACTTCTTATCAATTAATTTGAACTCAATTAAAAAATATCACAGTAGATGTTAATATAAAGATTTCACGAATCTTTGCAATACTCGTTCGGTACCGTGCCTTTTAGCGATATACATCTGTCAAAGCGTTTGTCGCGCGACCGATTAGTTGCGCCACTCCTGACAACGCGAATTTCATGCCCATGTGGTTGGTTATTTTCAAATGCTCACCGTTTGAAAATTGATGCCTAAAAATTTTGCTCCAAAAATTCGATGTCTTCAGTGTAATGATAATTGTGACTCATAATATAGTTCCATATAAAATATAATATTCTTTACTTTAAAAAAAGAATTATAAATTAAAAAAAGAATTATAATGTGGACTTGGTTAGATGGCGTACGAGTGAATGGATTGTACCAATATAAGAAAAACTATTTTTGACGACACTTAGTATTTTTTCACAGGATTATGAAATAAAGTACAAAGAGATATTTTGTGATAACCTCGGCGTAGTACGATCTTTATATGTGTACAAAAATTATATTAATTCAATCTATAGAGCGAAGAGTTATACATATATTTTTTATAGAAACATTGCACGTATTTTTTTATTATATACATATATTTTTAATAGGAACAATGCATACGTTTCTTGACAAGCAAATTAATTTAATTTAAATAATAGCAAGTACAAACTGTACAATCCATACGATTAGACCACAATATTGTAAATGGCTTTAAATGTTTAAATGCGTACTAGTCAACCTTCTTCTAGCATAGATACTATTTAGATGACAACAAGTATATGTGATTATAAATCAATGTTAGATAATAGCAGTGTCAAATTTTTTCTTTTTAGAATTTGATTTTAAATTTTTACAAAATATAATTGCTCTCTGTAATGCGCTATCACTGTTGCGCATAGCTTCCTGTTATTAATTAAGTAGTTATTAATTAATATTTAATAATGTACTACATCGAGTGGAGACAATTGGGATAACTGACTAATCGAATACGTTGCTCTAAATATTCAGCGATCACGTTTATAATTAATTATTTATGTATAGAATTTATCATACGTGGTAACTATCGCATTTCGTAAATTATCGCATTTCGTAATACTCGAAGGAGGATTTGCTTAATAATTATTCATGTTTCGTATCGTGTTTATATGCTTCTGCTTGCCGGTTATCACCTAATTATGCAGCATAAAGAAGTTCTGGGGCTTTTAAAACTTATCAAGACAGGTTTTAAAAGCCTTGATAATACTCGATTTCTTCAATTAAAAGAAAAAAAATAGATATATAATCGCACAGCAACGCACAAATTTCTTTAATTCAAACAAATGTTCGTTTAATTGAAGAAATCGAGTATTATTAATGCTTTTAATATATATAATATATATATAAAAGTTTCTTTGATTTGAACGTCATTCTTGAAATTAAATATTTTGTATATATTTTTGTATATATTTTTGTT